TCTCTCTCTCTCTCAGAGTCCGGTACTAACCTGTGAAGTTGGCGCCTTGATGCAGGTACCTCGAAGATGGAGCTGGAGCTATGGCGCCACAGGTAAGTCTCACTGGCCTCCGCCAGCCATCTCTCCCCAATACTACTACTACCACCTACTAGCGCCCAGCGCTGAAGACTACTGCTAGCGCTAAGCTACTCCTGCAGCGCTCCTCCTGAGTGCTGCGGCCGAATCCTGAAGACTACTCCTGCCTTCTGTCCAACTACCCCCCGTGAAGTGCATGGGAACTCCCTATGTACTACTCGGCCTGCCTCCTGACTGCAGGGCGAGGCAGTCCAGGAGGCTGCTTTTGCCAATGCCGAAGGGAGTCAGGGGCTGCCGCTGCAGCTCCTGCTTGAGGCTGTCGTGGGAACAGGCTAAAGATAGCCTGTTCCCGAAACCCTGGTTTTGTGCCTGACTGTTAGGGCAGGTCGATCTTATGAGGGCCCGAAAGTGGCCCTCCGTTTCAGGCTGAAAAGACTCAGGGCTGAAAAGCCCTGTTTTAGGCTGAAAACGAAATAGGGCCTGCAGGCCCTCGTTTTCAGTTTTCAGGCTGAAACGACATGGGACCTGTAAGCCCTTATTTCTAGGCTTTTAGGCTGAGAATGCGGGACGGGCCCTGCAGGCCCGTGAGGCTACACAGTATGCCGCAACCCCCCCTCCTTGAAAGACCGAGCTTACCTGCGAGGGCGAAGTCTGTCTGAGGGAGGGACCACAGTCCGGGTGGGAGGGGCAGGTCGTGAAGGTCCCTGAGCTAACCTTTGTCGCTCGTAGTGAGCGTAGATCAGCGGTGCGGATGCTTTCAAATCTGTTCCTGAAATCCACCGAGTGTCGTCAGGATCGCATGCTTTGAATGTAACTTTGTACTGTCGAGGCTTGCTGCCGTACTTGTGATCCGTGATGACGCGGTCAACTTCCTGATGACCATCCATAGAAGGAGGGTCCTGCGATCGTCGGTCCGGGAAGTCGCCGCTCTTAGCTGGTGTGTATGTAGCCAGCTTCGAGGCGTGAAAGACTGGATGGACCATCAGATGCGGGGGGATGTTGATCACAAATGAAGGGCCATCGGGCTCATCACCCGCGGCTGATGTTACGGGCCATGGTCCAAACCACTTGGAAAGCAGTTTGCGTGAAACATCCTGGTCCAGTGCAAACTCTTCCGCGGAGACCCAAACCAGATCACCGGCGCGGATGGGACATGGCACGCGACGCCTGTTGGCTTGCTGCTGCATGCGGACTTGAGCCTTTTGCATGTTCGCGCGGGCTTGAGCCAGCAATTCCCTGTACTTCCGGACGGAAGCGGGAGAGCAACCGGCGTCGATGTCGGCAGGTCGTGGGAGGAGAAGGTCGGCGAAGATACGGCCTTTCCGTCCACCGTGGTGCAACTCGAATGGAGTCACACCGATCGCCGGGTGCACCGAAGTGTTGTAGGCGAACTCGATGTCGAGAAGGCGGTCAACCCAATCTTTCTGGTCCGGACGGATGAGCGTACGAAGCATCATTTGAGCGGTTTGATGTGCCCGCTCCGTCTGGCCGTCCGTCTGTGGATGCCGAGCCGAACTTGGTTTCATCTTCGTGCCGGACTCCTGCATGAGAGCAGTCCAAAATGCCGACATGAAGCGAGTGTCGCGGTCGCTCACTATGTCTTCCAGTACACCGTGGCCGCAAATCCAGCCGGTGTGCAAGACGCGTGCCAGCTCGGGAGCCGTGGAGTAGTACTTGCAAGGAAGAAAACGTGCGTACTTACTCAAATGGTCCACAACCGTGAGGATGTTGTCGTGCCCGAGGCGATCACGGGGAAATGGTCCGGTGACATCCATGGCAATGGAGAGCCCGGGTTCCCCGCGTTCCCATGGGATAGGCATCGGGCGCAACTCGCCGTAGGGATTGCGATTGCGGGGCTTGCTTCGTCGGCAAACTTCGCAAGAGTCGCAATACCGAGTGACATCGGTAATGAGGTCAGGCCATCGGATTCGTTGTCGAAGCCGTGCAGTGGTGCGGTTGACTCCGAAATGGCCGGTGAGTCGCGAATCATGATACTCGCCGAGAAGGCGAGTCCGAAGGCGACGGTCTCGTGGGACACATAGTAAGTCCTTGCCTCTCGAGTGGAGGAGCAAGTACCCGTCGGCAATGCGATAGTGGCTGGCCAGCGGGTGATCCGAAGATAGTTGCGCATACAACGTGGCAAAATCCGGATCAGACTCATAGCCCCGGATGAAGTGTTGCTGGAGTTCCTCGTCGAATCCGAAGGCATGATGTGTCATCGTGCAAAGATCAGGTCTTCGCAAGAGTGCATCTGCTGCTTAATTGGAGAGGCCGGGGAGATGTTTCGGTGTGAAGTCCAATTGGTCGATAAAGTACATCCATCGCCCGATCGTGCTGCTCACCGTATCCTGCGTCTTCTAGTAGGTTAATGGGTTGTTGTCCGTGACCCATGTGAACCTACGACGCCCAAGGAGGAAGTGCCGCCATCGCTTGAGAGCCATCACGAACGCGAGCAGCTCCTTCTTCCTTGCATCATCAAGCGAATTGATGGGAGGCACTTTGTGGCTGAAATACTCCACAGGGTGTCAGTCGTCGTCGTCGTGTTGTTCCAAGACTGCCCCAATGCCATAGCCGGAAGCGTTAGTTGTCACTCTCGTAGATGCTAAGGACGGGTGCCATGAGCATGGTCGTCTTGAGTGCTTGGAATGACCGTCGTGCGTCATCATCGAACACGAACGGCAACTTTGCCGATTGTAATCTCGTCATAGGTGCAGCAATCCTTGAGTACCCAGTGATGAATAACTGATAGTAACCCGCCAACGCCATGAATGAACGAACGTGTTGCATGCTGAGCCTGCACACGGGCCCCATTTGAGGGGCCCGACGGTTGCTGAGGGCCCCCCAGGCCGCGTACTGTCCAGCACGCGCCCTGAAGGCCCACGGCGGCCCTCCAGGCCTCAGGCAGCACGTAGGTAGGTAGGTTTTCAATTACTTACCCTTTTTTCTGTGTGTGTGTGCTGTCCTATTTTTGTCTGTTCAGGTGCTGTTTCGGACTTGCAGCCCCAAGGCCGGACCTTGGGACTGGGTACACCGGAAGCAGGCCCGAAACGAGGCCAGGCGCATTTTGGCGCCAAACCGGTGTCGTTTCGGTCCTGCCGGACCCAAGACAACGCCTTGGGCCAGGTGCACCGGTAGAAGGCCGTTTTTAGACCAGGCGCATTTCTGCGCCACGCTGCAGCAGCAGCAAGGTCTGGACGTCCAGTAGGGACCCAGACCACCTGGGCCGTTTTAGGCCACACCGTACCAGGTAGGCCCAGCGGCCCAACACTACATATAGCTGGGCAGCAGCTGGGCAACGGACAGTTGAAGTCGCTCACTTCTGAGCGGCATGCTGCTGGTTGGAGGCTGCGCCATGCTGCGTTAGGTAGAGGAGTAGGAGTAGCGATTAGAGGAGATAGGAGAGGGCGGAGGCCATACTTGCAATCGGCGAGCTTACCTGGCGCCATAGCTGGGCTCCACGCGGTACCTGGACAAGGCAACGGACGAAGTCAGTTCGAGTGACAGCTACCTGCAGGTGAGACAGCGAGGTGGGATTCTTCTCTCCCTCCTCCATCTCTCTCTCTCTCTCTCTCCTCCCTCCTTCCTCCTTATCTCTTCTTCTTCGAATCTGAGAGTGTGAGAGGTTATCAGTAGGGATTTCAGGTTGGGGTTGTAACGGGCACACTGCCCAGGATCTGATTCGACATTTCTGAGACAGACATTATTTGGACATTCGGCAAGAGACTATTTTAGACTTCGTCATTGCGATCTTGGTCTACTCTCTCGCCTCCTCCCTCTTTCGTTTGTCCCTCCCCCATCTCTCATCCGTGGTTTCTCCCCATGTGTGTGTACGAAGGAGGGACCTTCCTTCCATGATTGCGGTCCCTCCTCTCTCGCCCATGTGTGATGTGTGATGGCTGTCGGGTCAGTCCACGTCAGATCAGATCTTCTCTCTGAAGTCTTCCGCTGTGCCATTTGCGCCATCTTGTACGTATCGGGATGTACATTGCTTATTGATGCTGCGCTGATTCGCACTGTCCGTTTCAGTCCTTTTCATCACATTGTGGATCCTGGGTATACTGCGCATTGCTCCCCTGAGCATGCGTCAGTTTTGGTATCGGAGCTACTATATGCGAATCAGGACGAACCTGATCTGACGCGCGCACAGGGACCACCCAAGATCGATTGGGTGAAGTATCGATTGCTTATTCCGCGAATTTTTTTTTTAATCCGATATTTTGAATTTTTTTTCTTGCTGAAATTCGAAATTTCGCGGCAGAGAAGTCCGGAATTTTTTTTTCAATTTTTTTTCGAAAAGTTTTGATTTTATCCCGTTATAAAAATTCCCGTTATTCCGAAAATTGAAAATCTTTTTTGAACTTTGTTTTTTTTCGGAAAATCTTCTTGAAATTCGTTTTTTACTTTCTGAAATTCGTTTTTCACTTCTTGAAATTCGTTTTTCACTTTCTGAAATTCGTTTTCCACTTCTGAAATTCGTTTTTCACTTTCGAAATTATTTCTGAAATTCGTACTTCACTTTCTGAAATTCGTCTTTTATTTCCAAAATTATTTCTGGAAATCGTTTTTCATTTCCGAAAATATTTCCGAAATTGCTTTTCACGTTCTGAAATTCGACTTTCAAATTCGGAAATTATTTCCATTTCATAAATTATTTCTGAAATTCGATTGTCAATTTCGAAAATTATTTCTGAAATTCGATTTTCAATTTCGAAAGTTATTTCTGAAATTCGTTTTTCATTTCCGAAATTATTTATGAAATTCGAAATTATATCTGGACATTCGTTTTTCATTTCCAAAATTTTTTCTGAAATTTCGTTTTTCAATTTCGAAAAATTCCGAATTTTTTTCTGACGTTCGGGAATTCCTCTTGCAAACGTTCGTTTTCAAACTGCGTATACTCTCACTTCACATATTCCGATTTTTTTATAAATTCCTGGGCTTGTGGAATCATATCTTTTTCGCAAGTTCAGCACTTCCGCTATCTCCATTTGACACTTTGATTCATTTGCAGCCTAAAATTCGAATTTTTTTTCAAATTGACTGCTGAGGGGATATTTCGGGGGCCTACCGAGCTTGCAAATTCGAATTTTTTTGCTTTTTTTTGAAATCACTGCAAGTTCCCAATTTTTTTTTATTAGTGGCTCCATATCTGGGCGACCCATTTTGATTGCCCATCCCCTTTCTCTCCACCCCAACCCTTCGTCCCTTCTCCGTCCTCCTTACCTGCCCATTCACCTGCAGTTGCAGGCCAGGTAAGTCCTCATTTCAGCAGGCCACGTCATACTTACTCGCTCGCAGACAGCAGCGATGGATCAGAAGGCAAGCGAGACTGACAAGGCCTACGAAGCACGATTGGCGGCCCTCATAGCCGAAGGCAAGCAACGGGCAGACGCAGCAGCAGCAGCACGGAAGAAGAAAGAAGCAGAGGCAGAGAAACAGCGTCTTCTGGCAGAAGAACAACGGCAGAAGCACGCGGCAGCAGCAGCCAAGGCCGCTGATGAAGAACGCGTACGGCGACGCGAGACCATATTCAAGGAGGAAAGTGCATTACACACACAGGCCAAGGATTGGCAGAAGGAGGCCGAGAACGGCGATCCCGTTGACATCGGGAGCAGAGTATCTCAGCTGCTCAACCGTGTCATGGACCTCCTCGTGACTTGCATCGCGCAGCAAGAGGATATCTACTCTCTCGACCACACCAACAAGGCGTTACAGCAGTCGCTGGACCAGACGCTCAAGCGCGTTCAACAACTGGAGCAGCGGGTCGCTAACGCCAATGCCAGCGCCGGCCCCTCCGACCTCGCCGACCGCGTCAACATCTTGGAGATAGACGTGGGGACACTCAAGGCCGGGGCGCAACAACATGTCTGCACCACCGCCGGCTCCAGCTCAACGCCACGTGAAACCATTGTCAACTTTGACGGGCTTCCGATCTTCTGTGACTCATCGAAGACGGACCCCATACCATGGTGGCGTCAGTTCGAACTCAAGCTGGACCTTCGCCACGTAGTCGACGCAAACAATCATGCATATCTGTACTCCCGTTCGGGAGGAGCGTGTCAAGCATGGCTGGATAACATGCTGTCTACACACGCATGCACAGTCACCGAACTGCACAAGTACATCAGCTGGGCAAATCTCATGGCGGCATGGAAGAAGCGCTTCCAAGTGGAACCACCGGAGCACCTGGCGATGGACAAGCTGCTGACGTTTTCGCAGAACAATCTGCCAAGCGGTGACTGGATTTCTGAGTTCCAACGCCTGGCTAGCACGCCCAAGTTGCCGATGAACTTCGACGGCATCAAGCTGTACTTCATCAAGCGGTCGTGCCCTGCATTGCAGAACGCGTTGACTCACGTCACGGACACCCTCACCACAAGTGAGGACCTCTTTAACAAGGCTGCGCAAATCATTGTGACGAATTTGGCTGCCCGGAACACGGGCCCTTCGTCATCTGCCGGCCAGGGCACGCATCAGCATCGGCCCAAGGTGGCCGTGGTCGCAGCAGTTACGCCTAGCGACCCCTCAACTTCTTCAAACGAGGCTGCAGAATCTGATCAGGGAGATAGACTTGCAACTGCCCAGAATGGTGGCCGCCCCGCCAAAGGACGAGGACGCGGCAAGCCGAAGACAACCACCAATACTTCTTCTGGGTCTGGACAGGCAGCTCAAGAACAAGGACCTTGGACAGCATACGGTCTATCGCCACGCGCATACCGCATCCGCACCAAGTACCGTTATTGCTTATGGTGCAACAGCTCCGATCACGAGGCAGCGAGTTGTCCCAAGAAGGCCAAGGGTCCCGCCCAGTCGGGAAAGTGAGCACCGCCAAGAGTGTTGCGACAGCACTCTCGACGCCTTCGGAACCGGTTACCGCGCGAGTAACCTCCCTCAGTTCCGGGGCACATGCAGACGTCGTAAGTCCTCCCATTCTTCATTATTTCGAGGACTATGCTGCCCGGCTCGTACCTTCGCTGATTCCACGAGCCCAAGGACAAGATGTATGTGCGGTCTCTTTTCCGATCGGTAGCAGCAGCATTGATTCGTCTTCAAGTGGACCTTCACAGGATTCGGCGCACGCGTTCAACATTGAGGACTTGGACCCGTTGATGCCCGAGGATTTTGCATGGCTTCCCCTCCCTTCCACCGGCTGCTTACCGGAGCCGCAATGCGCCGCTCTTCGCGCTCATCTACATACATACTTGGCCTTCAATGCACCACCAACTTCGCCTACGGAGGACGAGGTCGCGGTGGGGGACATTCTTGCTTACGTAAGCAAGGTGGCCCGCGAGTTTCGCACGCAGCAGTATGACGACAACAACGCACCGCTCCTTTACGTCCGCATCCAAATCGGGCAAGCGTCCTGCAACGCTTTGCTGGATAGCGGCGCGACTCGCAATTCTATCAGCCAGTCCTTCATGCAAAGGGCCGGCCTTGGACCACAAGTTCGAAGGAAGGCACACCCTACATCGATCAAGTTGGCGGACGGAAGGACGCAACAACTCCTTGACCGCTACATCGAAGCCGTACCGATCTATTTCGCACCTCATGCATGCGAACCGGTGACGTTCGACGTCTTGGATACGCACTTCGACATCATTTTGGGCATGCCTTGGCTCGCGAGTGCGGATCACACGGTCAACTTCGATCGGCGGACTCTTACGGTTCGCGACGCGTTCGGCACCGAAGTACYGTGTACCATTCCTCCTCCGCMCCCTTCGATCCGGTGCCAAGTTGTAACCGCCAAGTCCTTTCGGGCCACTTGTGCTTACGAGCGGACCGAAGAGATCGGCTTATGTTTTCTTCGAATCGTCGCGGTAGCCGACTTTCAACCTACGGACTTGTCTTCAAACCCCTGGGTGGTGCGGTTGCTCAACGAATTTGCCGACGTCTTCGAGTCACCTACAGGCGTGGTGCCGGATCGGCCGACCTCACATGAGATCATTCTGGAGGCCGGTGCCATGCCGCCGAAAGGTTGCATTTACCGCATGAGCGAGGAGGAACTTACAGTACTCAGCGCGCAGCTCCACGACTTGTTGGACAAAGGCTGGATCCGGCCTAGTAGCTCACCATATGGCAAACCGTCAAGAACACGGGACCTCTTCCTCGTATTGACGACCTTCTAGAGCGCTTGGGCGACGCGAATTTTTTTTCCAAACTGGATTTGAAGTCGGGATATCATCAAATCTCGATTAGGCCGCAAGATCGCTACAAGACCGCGTTCAAGACACGGTATGGGCACTTCGAGTGGGTTGTTATGCCTTTTGGACTCACCAACGCCCCGACGACTTTTCAAGTGGCGATGACCAACGAGTTCCGAGCAATGTTGGACCGGTTCGTGCTGGTCTACTTGGACGACATCCTCGTCTATAGCCGGACCTTAGAGGAACATCTTGACCATCTTCGACGAGTGTTGGAGACACTCCGGCGCGCCAAGTTCAAAGCCAACCGCGACAAGTGCGAGTTCGTGCGTCAAGAGTTGGAATACTTGGGCCACTTCGTCACTCCACAAGGCATCAGTCCGTTGTCGGACAAGATTGAAGCCGTCCAAGAGTGGTCGGAGCCACGGAACGTCACGAATGTACGATCATTCCTTGGCCTCGCCGGCTACTACCAACGCTTCATCAAAGGCTACTCGAAGATCACGGCTCACTTAACCAAGCTTCAATGCGAGGACCGGCCGTTTGACTTCGGGACGGACGCGCGAGAATCATTCTTGGCCCTCAAGGCCGCCTTGCTTTCCGCGGAGGTATTGCAGGTATACGACCCGCTCCTGCCAACTCGCATCACCACGGATGCGTCCGGTTATGGCATTGGTGCTGTCCTCGAGCAACATGACGGCGTGGATTGGCACCCGGTCGAATATTTCAGCAAGAAAGTGTCGGTTGTGCACTCCATCGACGATGCACGCAAGAAGGAATTTCTCGCCTTCGTCCACGCACTCGAGCGATGGCGGCACTTACTCCTCGGTCGACGCCAGTTCCGATGGGTAACGGACAACAATCCGTTGGTGTTCTACAAGTCGCAAGACACCGTCAACAGCACCATTGCCCGTTGGATGGCCTTCATCGACCAATTCGACTTCTTTCCCGACCACATTCCGGGGAAGTTGAACCGCTTCGCGGATGCCCTTTCGCGGCGTCCGGACCACTGCACCGCGGCCTACTCAACCTTCGACTTGCGGGACAGCTTCATCCGCGGCTATCAAGCCGACCCCGAGTTTCGCGACAAGTACGCAAACTGTTCCTCTCCCAATCCGGTGCCTTCGCACTATCGGATCCAAGAGGGATACTTGCTTCCTCACTCGCGGGGGAAGGATCTACTTTATGTGCCGCAAGATTCACACTTGCGCACGCAGCTTCTTGGCGACTTCCACGACGCCCCCGCCACCGGACACTTTGGAGTCAATCGCACGATTGGCCAACTACGCGAGCGCTTTTGGTGGCCAGGTCTCCTCGACGACGTCACGTGCTATTGCGAGTCATGCGAAGTTGCCGACGTTGCAAATCTCGCAATCATCGTCCGTACGGCGAGTTGCGACCATTACCCGTCCCCTTGCGCCGAAGGGAAGCGATTGCCATGGACAATACCGGGCCGTTCCCCAAGCACAAGACGGGCGTGGACGGGATTCTCATGGTGGTTGACCGACTCACCAAGTTTGCCATGTTATTGCCTTGCCGCTACCATGCCAAGGCACCGGAATTGGCCGAGGTTCTCTACGCCGGTTGGATTCGAACCAAGGGTTATCCCAAGGAAATCGTTTGCGACCGCGACACTCGGTTCATGTCTGACTTTTGGTTGGCGCTCATCAAGCGATGGGGCTCTTCCCTCAAGCCAAGTTCGGCTCGCCACCCCCAAACCGATGGCCAAACGGAGAGGGCACATCAGACCGCACAGGTCCTTCTTCGCACTCTCATCCGTACCGACCAAAAGGATTGGGTCGAGCAACTGTCGGATGTCGAGCTGGCTTACAACTCGTCTATCCACCCGGCTATCGGGATGTCGCCGTTCGAGTTTGAGCATGGCTCGCCAGTCAACTCTCCGTTGGACACAATCATGCCACGGACGACCGAGAGCGACGACCACCTTCTCTTCATTCGTCGGATGCAAGAGCTTCTTGTCAAGGCACGTGACCAGATGGCAAAGATGCAGCAACGTATGCGCCAACAGGCCAACCGCCAGCGTCTTCCTTGTCCATTCCGCGTCGGCGACCTCGTATGGGTTTCCGTTGCAGAATTTAGCCTCGAACAAGACATCTCTCGCAAGCTCCTTCCGAAATGGATGGGGCCCTGGCCGATCGAGGCACCCGCTGGGGACTCACCCGAAGGACCTTCATTCGTCATTAAGGTGCCCGCCCACTTGCCCGTCAACCCGGTCTTTCACTGTTCCAAGTTGGCCCTCTACACGCCAACAGAACTTGATGACTTTCCTGGGCGACGATCGCAAGACCCACCCTCGATGGACGGTTTCCAAGAGGTTGGCAACATCATATCCCAGCGTCGTTACGACAACAGGCCGACTGAATTTTTGGTCCACTTCGCATATTGCACCCATAGAGCTGACCGATGGCTGACTCGTGCAGAACTTCAGGCAACAGCGCCCGATGCTCTCGCACGGTACGAACAGAAGTTGAAAGGCAAGCCGGCATCTTCGGCTCCACGACGCACACGCGTCCAAGTACCGCCTTCAGATCGCCAGCTTCGCCCCCGACCGTCTTGACTTCATAAGGAGGGGGGGGTGTTGCATGCTGAGCCTGCACACGGGCCCCATTTGAGGGGCCCGACGGTTGCTGAGGGGCCCCCAGGCCGCGTACTGTCCAGCACGCGCCCTGAAGGCCCACGGCGGCCCTCCAGGCCTCAGGCAGCACGTAGGTAGGTAGGTTTTCGATTACTTACCCTTTTTTCTGTGTGTGTGTGCTGTCCTATTTTTGTCTGTTCAGGTGCTGTTTCGGACTTGCAGCCCCAAGGCCGGACCTTGGGACNATTTTTGTCTGTTCAGGTGCTGTTTCGGACTTGCAGCCCCAAGGCCGGACCTTGGGACTGGGTACACCGGAAGCAGGCCCGAAACGAGGCCAGGCACATTTTGGCGCCAAACCGGCGTCGTTTCGGTCCTGCCGGACCCAAGACAACGCCTTGGGCCAGGTGCACCGGTAGAAGACCGTTTTTAGGCCAGGCGCATTTCTGCGCCACGCTGTAGCAGCAGCAAGGTTTGGACATCCGGTAGGGACCCGGACCACCTGGGCCGTTTTAGGCCACACCGTACCAGGTAGGCCCAGCGGCCCAACACTACATATAGCTGGGCAGCAGCTGGGCAACGGAGAGTTGAAGTCGCTCACTTATGAGCGACATGCTGCTGGTTGGAGGCTGCGCCATGCTGCGCTAGGTAGAGGAGTAGGAGTAGCGATTAGAGGAGATAGGAGAGGGCGGAGGCCATACCTGCAATCGGCAAGCTTACCTGGCGCCATAGCTGGGCTCCACGCGGTACTTGCACAAGGCAACAGACGAAGTCAGTTCGAGTGACAGCTACCTGCAGGTGAGACAACGA